AGGATCCCAAGGCAATGGGAAGGAAATGGGTACCTGAGGCAATGGAGGAGTGGAAAGAAAGTAGATGACAAGTCCCTCAGAAAATAGTGGAATAACCCATAGATCTGTGGTGAAAAGTCGCCAAAGGGGAACAAAATCGGTCAAGCAAGCCCCCACTGGACCAAAACCCACCAGTACTGTTGGCAACATGTCCACATACGTCGAATAACACAATGAGATGAAGAACCTCTGGAGGTAGGAACAGGTAGGTAGCTGGATGGGAAACAGTAATAGGGGCATGTCTAGACTCTGAATGAGACAAACAATCCACCAAAGAAGAAAGGTTAGTTTGTTGTAGCACCGACTCCACATGGGATTCCAAAGTCTCAGGAATATTACCAAAAATTTATCGCTGTCATAATAGGACCATATACAAGTCCTGAAGATAAACAGGCAGAAAACAAACCTGGGACATCCCAACAACAGAGAAAACACTGTTTAAGGATAAAGCCATGAAGACAAATGTGCCAACATGGAGGTAATTAGGGAGAGGCCAGAATCTGTGTGTATCACCTTGAAAAGGAGGTGGGTAGTAGATGAGTACCATAGGAGGGTAAGACCAAGGTGCGAAAATTTGACATGGGATTGTGGTTGTTTTGAATATTCAATTGGTTTGGTCCTATGGCAATGTAAGCACTAATTATACAGCCATTAGCTACAGTGGTGTGACTAAAGATTTAACAACATTCTGAGTTATATTCTCAATGTTTTAATTTGAATATTACTTAGAGGTCATATGACATTAAGATCAAAAAGTTATTAGGCCTAGAATGTTCTAGGCATCACAAAAAAAAACTAATAACTTTGTGCACTAACTAGAAACAAGACTATATTATTAATACAACATTTAGTGTTTGGAGTTCAACAAGCAGTTATTAATGAATGAATAAAGTCAGTCAGTCATTTTTAGTCCAGTGAAGTTTTCGTATCAGTGCAAGTTATTTCATATATTCAGTTACTTAATTGATTAGGCAAGAAATTATACAAGTTTATTTGTTTGTGTTGGTCATGGTATTTCAATTCTAATGTTATTTGAAAAGTACTTAGGCCTGCAAATTACAAAAGTGTACAATTTAAGACAGTTTGTAGAAATGTTAAGAAAGAAATAAGTTAATTTATTATCATTACTTGGACTGGGCTTCATATTATTTTCACCAAATAATTACTTATATGAATTAAAATTCAAGTCTAAGAAAAGTGTACCTTTTTCCAGATAGCATAAATACATTTTGTGAGTATTTCATATTAGGCTATTTTTCATAAAAATATATATAGTTCAAGGGAAAATGGTATCAGGAGAAGAAAAAAACTGTAGTAATGATAAAACAAAGTCTGTATTTTGTAATAAATGCCTTCATTTGAGTGAAGAATGATCTGCACTAAAATGTATGATTGAAATAATTTTTTTAATTGAAATCTTAGCAAAAAATCTTATATCAGTGGATTGTCAAAAAAAAAAAAACTGGTGAAACAAATTTACTTGTATTACATGTCAGGGTGACCCAAAAATTTACCCACATCTTGAATGCTCATATGACTATAGTAAATGAACCTATAAGCCAGCAAAACATCTTTATTAATATTTCATACCATAAATTAACTGTACCCACACTGCTGCATCATTTGAGATGCTCCAACTGGGCTCCACCAGCAGGCCTGTCTTATCGCATGGGCACACTGGGCAGTTGCCCGAGGACCCCGCAATTCAATTTGAAAAATAAAAATTAAGGTTCATATTATTAAATAGCAAAGGCGTTAATGTGAAATCGGTGCATTCGTGGAAGTGAGCCGGTGGAACGTTTCCTCAAATTCATCCCCATCTTTTCTCACGGAGCAAAGAATTTAGCAGACACAGTTATAGAGTTCCTGCAAGAGAACAACATTCCATCATCAAACTGCCATGGTCAGTCTTATGACAATGCCTCAAATATGTCAGGATGCTACACTGGATTGCAAGCATGGAACCATGAACTAAATGAATTTGCTATCTATATTCCTTGTGCTGGACACAGTCTGAACTTGGTGGGAGTAAAAGCAGCAGAGTGTGGTCCACAGATCATCTCCTTCTTTGCAGTCAAAAGATGTGGACATACTTGTTGCCATTGATCTCCTCAAGTCTCTGAAAGCCTATCTTCAGGAAATGAGAGACAAATTCAGTGAGTATGAAGCGAAGGCTAAAAGCAGGTGTCCAGTTCGAAATATAGCAATGGAGAAAAACATGCAAGAAAGCTAAGTGTGCATCTTACCAGATATGATGGGTCAGCGGAACAGATACTTCTCCATGAAAGAGAAAAATTCAAGGTGGAAACATACCTTTCTATTCTGGACTCTCTGAACTCTCACCTGACTAAACGTGCAGAAGCCTACAAAAGTATTGGAAATCTGTTTTCCTTCTTCAGTTAGTTAAAAACAATTGACTGTAATGAGCTTAGTCAAAGGTGTGAAAAATTGGCTAGTGCTTATCATGAAGATCTTGATTACAATGAATTACTCAATGAATGCAAGCAATTCCAGCACTACATTGTCCACGATGAAGAATGCAAGACTCTTCCAGACATGTACAGCAAACTCATTTCAGATAAGTTGAAATCTGTGTTTCCCAATGTTGAAATCGCATTCAGAATATTTATGTGCATGATGGTGACCAACTATACCGGGGAGCATTCATTTGCCAGGTTGAAACTTACAAAGAATCATCTTCGCAGCACAATGGGACAGCAGTGGTTGAATCTGCTTTCCCTCATGTGCATTGAAAGCGACATCCTCAAAAACATAGACTTTCAACCAATTATAAAGCAATTTTCTGCAATGAAATGCTGCAAATTTTCCAGTTTAATGTGTTGGGGAGGGCAGTATATTGCTTTGCCCGGGGGCATCAAATATTCTTAAGAAGGCCCTGTACACCAGCATTCAAAAAAATCATGACATCTATAACAGAGTGCGTGACATGCAGTTACACAATTTTCAACTCTGATTCAATGGAAAGCATTTATGATCTTTAATTCATCAATGGTTTTGGGTATATTTTTAGGCATGCTCCAGTATTATCCGAAATAAAACTGAAACATTTGGAATTAATATACAGAAGTTGCATAACTTAAAGAATGGGTACATTTGATGGGCCACCCTGTAGTATTTATGCTGTCTTTAAAGGATTACACTATGATGAAATATTCCAATATTACAAAACCAATAATTATCAATGGCTTCTTTTTTATTTCTGCAATAATCATAATGATACCCAACCCTTGCTCCAGAAGTCAGCAGAGACAAACAACTGGCATTATGTATTTAAAAAAAGAGAATCTGGAAATAGATACAACCAAACACACTGACAGCAGTCTTGAGAAATGACTTTAAAAATCAGTCAAAAATAACCATACCACCATGAAATACTCACTAACTGTTGATGGAATGTGTATCAAGGAAGGAGATCCTATCCATGTTAGGTGGCTTTAACAGCTAAAATAAGAAAGATCTCTCAAAGTGAATGAAATTTTGAAGTAGAATGTCTAAAATAAAAACTCCAAGAAAGCATAATGACAAGCAAATGATCAAAATATTAACTAAAATTCAATACAATTCAAAACACTGTGACTTTTAGGTTAAATGTGAAGAGTTCATTGGAGCCAGCAGAAATGTTAGCAAAAATCTGAAAGGAAAAAAAGAAGTTATACAAAGAAAGATTAAGACTTGAACAAAATCAAAACCTCAAATCCAAATGTTAACCGTTGCAATAGATAAAGAGCATTCACATACTGTAAATAGAATGTCGTGGATGCACTCAGACAAGTCTACATACCCCCTCACCCCTAATACATACACACACAATTTGTTTTCAAATAGTAGCTTCTAACCTGATTTGAGTTATAAATCCATGAGTCAAACATAATTAAATAATTATTTTAAGTCATTGGATGTCTTCATAAACCTTATAAAGAATAATCCTATCTAATTAGTAAGTGTAATAATTCTGTTGGATTCAGCAAGATTTGAACTGTCTTTTTATATTAAACAAGCAAGAATGAACATAACGCCTTTAATTGTGAACCAGATTATAATGAAAACAATAAATATAAATGTGGCACAGTAATCTCTCAGGGTCAGAAAAAGCAAAGTCAAAAAAACTAACAAACATGGGACTGAACATCTTATCATAAGAGTTAGTTAAAGTGCTTATAAGAAGAAAAAAAAGAGCAAATTTTAAATGTTAAACAGCCTTTGGCATAAATAATTTGTAAGTCACATCAATAACTGACACATAAGAACAATGGTAACTCAAAGTACCAGGAAAAGCATCTTGAAAGAAACATTCAAAAATGGAAAATTATAAAGGCTCAAAGGGGAGCAGAGACAGAGGCTGAAAGATCAAGATATTTCCACTTGAAAGAGAACATAAGAAGAAAGTATGATATTTAGCACACCAAAAAATGTGAAACAAATCCAGGAACTCCTGTAAGCCATAGAAAGCTCCCAAAGCTGCCCAATTACCTTGAACTGATGGTGAAAAAAGAACCCTCACTATAAAAATAAATATGAGATAAGAATAGGAAAATGAAGGGTAAAAGAAACAATGGAAATACATAAAGTAGGAAACAAAGTTTAGCTTGCTACCAAGATGCAATGGGCAATTTCCCCAGAGGAAATATATTGCTCTGGAGAAGAAATGAAGTAGATTGTGCATATAGAGCAAGTCTAACCACTACTAACCGAAATCATCTGCCTCCAAGGTCAATATATATCCAAAAAAGGAATAAAATAAGATGCAGCACGCAAAAAGATGTGGCAAGTGAGTGTATCATTAGCTCTTCCACATATTAGTATAAAGACTATTAATACTTGAAGTGCAATAACCTATAAAAACTCATTTTGTGTTTCTTGTCAGGTATGTACAAATCTCACTTCAACTGTGCTCTGAAAAAAAAACTTATTACATGCAGAAGTTTGATTACATAACTGACCAGGTTCGGTATACACCTGTAGAAAATCTCCTGCTGCCATAGAAAAGTCCACTTGTGATGGAATATCTGAAGGATTTACATCAGGAAAATAAGCTGGTCGGGTTTGATCATTGGAAGAAAAGTGGTTACAAGACTGGTGGATCCATGGATGAATACAATGCAAGTTTATACCTTTGCACCTGGCAAAAAATCCAGAAAGTAAATTTATAGAGTACTATTCCCCATAGTCTACCTGTCACAAAAAAAACAAACTTGGTTTATTTCAATTGAGCTCTATGCATGTTTTGAGTGTGAGAGTAAATTTAATTGGCTTCATAGTATTCTCCATTGCTGATATGAAGGATTCTAATTCAACGTGATTAAATATGACATACAAACCTCATTGAAAATATTAAAATATTTGAAATTTCTAATAACCTCCTTTAACTTTTACTACTTCACCAACATTCTATTCTACATATTCCAGTTTACAGCTAAATACAGTTAAAAATTGTTATGGTTTAACCAGTAATGTACATAGCATGTCACAGGTCCTATAGCAAAAACTAATATGTTAGAGCTATTTTTTACTGATTTTTAACTTTTCACCAATCAGGTAATTTAAAAGTATAGCTCCGATTTAAGAAATATGTACATACAGTACTCACAAAATCACATATACATGTATATGTGTGCAGGCCATGTGATAAGATCTTACTACCAGATCCCAGTAGCAGAACTGTGGTTGCTACAAATGGTATGTATGCTACTGCATTAACTTGTATATACAAAAATACATTTTACTGCAGCTTTATAACACAAGATAAACTTCTAACTGATTCTACGTAAATGTTTTTACCTATTTTGGTTGTGCTTTTTAATACTCAAACTAAATTAAAAAAGTAAGGAGATTAAGAAATATCTTAATTAATGCAACATTCCCCTGCTTAATACTTAGTCAAAGTTCTAAATTTACATTAACAGTGAAGGTACACACCTGGGGACATAATGTAGTTTAATTAGTTTCTTGTGTGTTACATTTTCATATTTATATTGTTGTTAGCCTAGTTATACTTTCATATATTTAACAGTACTAAAACTAATTCTGTCACTGTTTCAAAACACAATTTGTGTAACAAATCAGTTTGAGTAACTGTAATGAAATAATATACTACTATAGTATTTCTAAATATGCAAGTTATAACAGATATTTTGCTTTATGTTTCTGGTCTCATTTGCAAAAGTTCATTAAATAGGTAAATTTAAAATTAACTTCATTGTTTTGCATTGTGAAAACATGACGAGAGAATAAATATATCATAAATGCCATTAACAAATTACTGTAGCCAAGACAAATCACGTATTTAACTTTTATAACATGTTCTTGCATTTTCTAGATAAACTGTTAATTTTAATGTTATTGTGTAAATTATCAAATTAGACTAATCACTATTTCCCATACTACCTTTTAGGAGTACCATGTTTCAAGGATTAAATTCAGGAAGATCTTGCAGAATCATGAACATATAATTTTGAAGAAACATAATGAAAAGTAGTATCCTTTTACAGTACAAAATGTTTTACTCAGGGTGTATACAGAACTTTAAAAAATAAATTCTCTGACTTTTTCTAAGTTTTCCCCAACCATTCACACTATATAACACACACACACACACAGGAAGTTATGCTCAGAAATCACCTCATTAGCTACTTTAAATGAATTACTGAGCTTATATACTAGATGTAGTAGTTAGCCAATACATTTCTGTTAGTGATTACTGGTAGAAAAAAAAATAGTTCAAAAAATTTCCTGACTGTATACACCCTGTTCCAATTAGCAAAATTGTTAAAGACCTTGTTAACTTCTTTTCTCGTGTAAGCTTGTGTTTGTGAATTGTTGTCTATTTTGCTCTTTTCAGTACATTAAGGGTAATTTTAAAGTTACTATATTTCTCACTTTTTAATGGGAATGCAAGGAAATGTCAATATTTTTCAGAATATTAATTTTTCAATTATTCTATTTATCTTACATATATTTATGCAAGCTGCAAATGCATATATTTTTGAGCTAAACTTTTATAAAAAAAAAAGTGGGTAACTTTGAAAATGTGGTAGTTTTTTCTAATTTTACAAGAACCAGGAGAAGATTGGGTCAAACCAGAAGTTTTTCAAAAAATCCAGGAAGACTTGAAGCCCTTACTTCGTTCAGCGTGTATTTTTGCATAAGAGTTTTTTAAGTTAAAAAGATAGTCTTGAAAATACTAACAAAAAATATAATGTTGGTAGGCAATGTCATGGTTATTATATCAACCTACTGAATATTTTAAAATGCTAATATTAAACTTCATCAAAAAACTTGCTAAAACTTTCAATATTGTTAATTTCAAATTCAGGTACAACATTAAAAACTGCAACTTTGTGGGATATTGTAGGATACACAAAACTGGATCCTAAGATGAAATTCAAAGCTTATATTTGCTACCTTTTCTATAAATTTTCAATATTCTATTAAGACAAATAGACAAACAGAAAAGGAAAGTTTTAACTTGTAATGAAGCTTTCATCTGCTCTTCAGCATTACACAATAGTGCAAGTTATATTTACATCAATAAATAATATTTCATGCTGGTGTCTCTGATTCCCTAATTAAAAACTTCTAAATGGAAAAAAGCTCAAGAATGAAGCTAAACATTATAAAGTTCTAAAAGTAGCAATGAAATGTGAAAATTTACAAACAGAATAAAATTACACAAAATTAATACAGCTTGAAAAATATTAATTAAGTAAAAACATAGGCTAATACTATTACTTGAGTGAAGAAAAGTATCAAATCACAAGCAAAGAATCATCCATCCTAGTTTTATTTTACAGTACACTTCTCTCTAAACTTGTGAACACTATTTATGTAAACATGAAGGAGTACATGTATGCTGCACAGCAAACAAATATTCAATAAATGTTTGTCTAAAATGTAGCTTCAAAAACAGTAATTCATAAGTACAGATTTATGTTCTCTTACTTGTTCAGAATGTAATTTGATGCAAAAAGCATAAATAGGCTGAACTCATTTCCTTGACAAGTGTACCCATGACGTGCTATTTCGTATGCTAAACGACCAAGTCCAGCTCCTGGCACAAGAACTTGAATTTCTTGAGGATTACTGAAACAAATAAACTATATTTCTCTCTAATACAAGGACAGTTTTGAAGGACCACATAGTCCCCCTTGTTGTCCGTGTGTTACATTAAATGGATGGACACTACTACATTAAGAATTCTTGCTAATTTTGTTTTCAGGGTCACTGATGCTATCAAGAAAATTACAAAAGTGTCCCTTCCCTTTACAGTTAGAATTTATGATACCTTATATTTTTGGTTGAAACAACTAAAATAGAGTACTTAATGTTGTTCAAGTTGTTAAAAATGGTTTTAAAATGTTCTTGAACTTAGAGATGTTAAATCATTTCACACACACACATCTATGTACATTTGTGTGTATGTATATATTGACTAATAAAAAGCGAAAGATAAGTGGAAGTGAATTATTTGAAGACAGCATCCTTGAAAAAAAAGTAAAAATTTACACCCACCCTATATTTTCCTGGAAATCATCAATTCCCTTTTTTAAATACCATTAAAATGCTGGTCTCCACTACTACTGATGACAACTCATTCCATGAATTAATTACCTTGTTAAAAAGAAAAACTGCCTTAATGAAGTCTAGACTATCTTTTCCAAATCTTAAACTTATATTTTCTTATCTTATTATTTTCAGAGTGTAGCAGAAAAGAAATTATGAGATCTTAACCTTGCCCTTTATCTCCTGGATCATCCTGGTATCCCTCTTCTGAACTCTTTTCAATAAGTAAATATATTTTTTCATGTAAGATGACTAAAACTGTATACAGTATTCTAAGTGAGGCAAAACTTTTGTCTTGTACTCAATATGTTAATAAACCCACCCTAAAATTATATGAGTTTAGTTTGACTACTAGCTACAAAGCATAGCCTTGATACCTTGAGTAACTAACACCACTCCAAGACCTTTTTTTGCAGTCACACTACTGAGTGGATTCCCCATCTATATTAAACGTGTGATCCATATAATAATAACTCAAATGATTTACCTTGCACTTACTAAAATTAAAGGTCATTTGTCAAGTACATGTGATCCAAATCATTCTGTAATACCTCAGCATCCTCAGAACAGCTAGAAATATCCAAGAGTTTGATGCCATCAACAAACTTTATTAATTATACCCTATCAATATTATTAAGGTAAATGAGAAAAATCAAAGGTCTAACTAAATACTGACCTCTACTTAATAACCAGATTTAAATGACAGATTCTTCATAAGCAATTTCTGGTTTCACAACAAGCTTGTACAATGATAAAATCCACATATAATGCCTGAAGTTTAGAAACTTGGTTCTTTTTCCAAGCAAGTACATAATACTACGAAAGAAGGCAGTTTTCTACATGTGGATTGAAAAAAAAAATATATTTGTAGGTTGTATTGAAACCACAATGGTAATCTTATTTTTCAAGATTACTGTATTATAAAAAAGCTAGTAAATTCCATATAATTATGAACTTACCACTGATCTTCTGGAAATATGTATGTCAATTCATCTAATATAGGCTTAAAACATGCTTTTCTCTCCTGTTCTCCTTCTATGCTCCATTCTCTGACAAATTGTCTCAGCAGACTTTGTACTTTATCCATGTCAGAAAACTTCACATTAGCATCACATGAAGTCTTCTGCTTCCAGAGAAATACAAGAACAGCAGTAGTAAGTAAGCCTTGTCACGTTTGTTTAAAATCAAACATGCTGACAATACACAAGTGTAACCCTTAAATTAGAGTAACCCTTAAAGCAAGTATATATACAGTATCCAAAAGTTACTGATGCTGTTTCAAAGTAACACAACATCACATTATAATCTGATGACTGTGCCACTTTGCATATATTATATTTTTTGTGGTGACAACTGCAAAAGTTAAACACTATGACTTAAAAAAAGAAACACAATTGCTAATGTATGCAAAAACTGACTGTGTGTCAAACGTGAAATGAAAATTGAAATATTCAGAAAACTCACACCAATCAAAGCATTTTATAAGGATACCCTTCATGAAATGGAAACATGTACGGTTTCACAAGACTATGCATTAAGTAGTCAATGAGTGAACAATTCAAGATTTCTTGATATTATCATGATACATACGTATGTGCGTGTACAAACATAACTGTTGTAATACCTTGGATGACAGTTTAAAGATACACTCTGGACAAAATAAAAGATGTACTTGCTGAAGTATGACTATACAATGATAAGAATACACTGTTTATCAGCTTTATCTTCTATTTACAATCCTAATATGATAAATAAATATAATTATGTGCAGATATGGGTGCTCAAGACCACAATGCTCCAAATCTAAGACTACCATTCACCACCTGTAGCCAGTTGTGGGAAAATCAACACAATCTTCAATTAATGTATAAAAAGCATAACAAAACATATGTCTTGGTCATAAATTACTACTACTGTAAAAAGTAGAAACAATTGAATTTTTCTTCCAAATTCCTATTAAAAAAAAAACAACCAACAACAACAACAACATTAATTTAATTTTTATAAAAGTAATAATTTTTAACCTAGACATCTTAGGTTTTATCGTACTTTTCAAAAAGGTAAGTGACAATTATGGAGACTGGAATGACAAATTCAGGAGAAATAAACTTACTTTTCACCACCAGTGGTAAATCAGCTAAAATAACCAGTATTATTTCATTAATAGCAACTAACTTCCAACAACTAATTGCAGATTGTGAATGGTAGCCTTAGATATGGGATGTTATTAATCTATGGGGTTGAGAGTCTATATCAGTGATTCCCAAACTTTTTTCACTGACGACACCCTAACCCACTTCCCTTGATTTGTGTGACACCCCTGCACAACATGTAATAACTTTTCTGTAGAATTTTTTTTTTTACATTCTTAATTATTTTTCATTTGATGAAACTTTCACAACACTCCTGGAAACTTACTACAATGCACAGTTTGGAAACCACTGGTCTATATCTACACTTAATGCTTAGAATTTTTTTTCTCACATCTAAGCCTTGCAAATAGTGGTTAAATCCTATAGTTTGTGTGTGTTACTTCTACAGATACCTCTCTTTCTAAGGTACATCTTACCCATATTCATGTTGTTCCTTAGTTCTGTTTGTGTGTGACACGTTTTGCTTGAGGTTTTTTTCCTGAAAAGTTGCTTTACACAAACAGATAAATCAAATTCCTTTTCAAAATTTCCTGCAACTATGTGAAATTTTTAATATGCTGTAAAGTAGTTTAATTTTGTTCACATACTTATTTTAACATTTTACTGCAAAAGAATATTTGAGGCTATCTAGTTTTCCAACTACAAGCATTCTTGTCTTAGCTACCATAATTGGAACCATGTAATGGCTAAAAATGATATCTATTAAATCACTAAAGGCAGATAACACCACTAAATGAAATGTTGTATGGTTTTAGAAGTTTATCAAATCCCATTTTTGGCATACTTATAATGCATCTTAATGTTGATTTGTGGTACTTCTTGCTATTTAACTTTCATAAGCATTGAATGAAATGCACATACATTTGGATAACTAGTTTTCAGGTATGAAAGGGGCTCATCAATTATTGAATACATAACAAAAATGTTAAATTGGCTAATTTTTCCTGTAATAGACGATTTAATAAACTTCTAAAAATTATGAATATTGTTATTTCAAATACCATGCAATTATAATTAAGTTTTGAAAACTTACCACATCAGCTGTATGGTCTGTATTCTCAAACATGTGGGCCACATCATTTATAATAAGCTTGATTACTTCATTATTCTGGTCAATGCATTTTCTTATTTTATCTAAATGTTGCTTATAGCTCTTCAGAACATACTGATGAGCCACTGGGAGAGTTTCAAAGTACACTGAGGTTTTATAAAGCCTCTGCAATGAGTTAATTCTAAAAAAAAAACAGAAAAAGGATGCTAGTTATTAATATCACTGTATTAACTAAAAAACTGTAACTAAGTATACCAAAGTGGACTGTAAATACAGACTGGAAACAATTATTAAATCTGCAAATAAGTTACACTACATCCACAGTACACCCAACAATGTTAATCTTATACAGTAGAACAGAGATAAGTAATATGTAAAATTAATACACTGATTCATCATTATCGCTTAATTACTGAAACACAAAAAAACATATAATACAGCCTAACTTTAAAATACTTACAGATTTTATTTGCAAGAAAATTGAAGAAGTGCTTATATTTCAAAGATATAAAGAGCAGATCAAACTATATTATTTACACATTATGAGTAATCAAACATATCATGAATTATTGCAACTCATGTACACAGCATGGTCACAAGTAAATAGACACCACCTTTTCAGAAAAAATGAAATTTTTCAGTAATATTCACATGAATTGATATATTTATAATTTAATTAATACCTAGTAGATCTTCCTTTCACTTCGTGGAGTTTGTTGATCCTTTGGGGCATCGTGAGAATCATCTCATCAATTTTAGATTGTGAGATTTTTGTCCACTCTTGCTTCAAAACTCGGAGTATATCGCTCTTCGAAGTTGCTTTTTTTGGTTGTTTCTTGACTTGCCGGTCGAGTGTGGCCTAGAGATTTTCGATGGGCTACATGTCAGGAGATTGGCTCAGCCAGGGCAACTTCTGGATACCATTTTCTTCCTGCCACTTTTGGGTGTTTCTAGCAATGTGACATGGTGCTCCATCTTCCTGGAACAACATTGTGTTCTTGTCCACGAAATCCGAGGAATAAAGTGGCAAGAGTCCTTCCTCAAATATTTCGACGTATTTCACAAAATTTAGGTTGCCAACGCACTCCACTAAGCTCGATCTCCCACCAACTCAAACAGCTCCCCAAACCATCACTCTGAAACCACCATGCTTCACAGTTGGCTACAATCTGTTGAGCCAAAACTCTTGGTGAGGCATTCTCCAGACACATATCCTTCCACTGTCCGAAAATTGAGCGAATCTTGATCGTCTGAGAACAATACAGCCTTCCAAAAGTCCAGAGGCTTGGTCATCATATCACTTGCCCACTTCTTTCGTTTAACTATACACTTGGAAAAAAAGTTAAGCACCCCCGTGTTTTTTTCAAGTTGATTTCAGATTCGACGTTCTTGTGAC